GACATGATAAAATGTTTTTCAGTAGCAATATTAGCAAATTAAATATATTTAAATTCATTGTGTGTATATTTGATTATTATTATGTTAACTCTTAGTTAATGATTTATATAATTATGTTTGATTGTATATTATGACTGAGCAAAAAAAGGAATGACGTATATAAATTTACAAGATTTTCCTATAGGTTGAAGATCACTAACCGAAATGTTAAACATTGTCTCCTGATCTAATTTTGACTCCGAACAATTTTTTTATATATAATTTCATTTTCCTCGGACTTCTTTTAATAATTCTTATCAATAGTTTCACTATACAAACTCTTTTGATTACTCGATTGAACTCCAACGATCACACATACTAAAATATGCTTAATATCACGATACTATTTTAACGTACATGGAGTTATTCAATTAGCAAAAATACAAAATCGTCTCCCCATTTTTCGTCTAATAAAAGTATTAACTAGAAGCCTCAAAATTTATATTTTATTTTCAAAAATATATTACAATAAAAGGAAAACGTTTAAAAATCATCGAATATTTCTCACATTGACTTAATAGCTTTAAACTTGGAAAATTATATGAATTAAGAAAATTTTGTCTTTTCAAACTCTAATAACTTCCGTGAAAACAAAATTTGAAAAACTAGTCTCATCCTAAATTATGTATTCTGAAATATAACTAATATAACTCTAATAACTTCTATGAAAACAAATTTTGAAAAATTAAAAATATTAAATTATGTTCCATTAGAAAATTTAGGCAGGAAAGATAATTATTTGTTTAGGGAATTATTTTCAGAATTCTTGGAACCAGTCTAATTTGTCACCTGACCACAAACCCATTTATTGTATTTTATTTGCAACAGAATCTCTTAATCGACCCATCTTTCATATTCCTATCATCTTCCGTACTCCTACCATTTTCCGTATTCATATCATCTTCCGGATTCTCAATCACAATCGGCTTTTCAACCCCCATGTTCCGTCTCCGTCTCCGAATATATACTATCACCACACCAATGACTATTAGACCTACAAATAATCCTACTGCTATAACAATTATTTTATTTTTTTTGGATAAACCAGTTGAGTTATCACCCTCATTTTTAATATCAACCTTGGAAGCATTATATACGCTAAGCGCAAAAAAGCCTCCACATATTTGTGATCTATTACCCACGCAGCTACAGCTGCCATGTTCTAGATCTAAATTAATA